CCCTGTCTATCTCTTCTTATCAAACAGACTTTGAAACTTTTTGATGAACTTAGAATGCAATTTCCTATCTCCCTTTTCAATGAGTATAAGTTGTTAGAAACATTAGGTCGCCGAAAATAATGGTTTGAGTAGCAAATCCCTCAACTAGACAGTAGCTCAAACCTCGCTTGCAAATTCAAGCGCCAAGTATTGAAATACGCACATCAAAAGTCCACTGTTCGCCCACTCAGTGGAAGGGGGCGGGGCTGGTGGACATTCTCAGCGAGTTTTCAAAAATTAGCGAAAATTTAGGGCAAGGGTTGGGGCTAATTTGCAGATGGATCCACTACCTCCACCAAAAGCTGGCAAGCATCATTTTGCCAGGCAGCGTCCAAAACCTGTTCACAGTACCATATTTAGCGGACGACCTGCATCGGCTTCCAGGGTTTTGCGTGGCGACCCATAACGAGAGCTTGGTCTGCAGCAATAGCTGCGACCTGATGGATGCAAGTCGCAAGTACGGTATCGAGGTCTTCTTTGGGGCGCGAGTACCACAACTGCAAATGCATCATCCGCGCTCCTGCTTGGACAGTGTCTTACAAGGTAGGTCCGATTAGTCAAAGTGGCCTTTTCAAATGACTCTTAAAGGCAGTGGATCGGCAGAATGAGACCCGTGCCAAAACAAGGTCACAGGTTAGGAGCCCCCATGATGGAACCTATAGGCCAAAGTTCGATCTTTCTCTGCCACTTCAAACCCCCGAAATTTCAACGCGAAAACAGCGCTCATCTCCTCTCCTCTCCGACCCCGCCCACCCCATGGACGAGTGACTTCCACGGTCAGAGCGCGCATGCCGCAATGCTATAAGCATAAGGGTCCCGCAACGACTCTGCGTCTTCGCCATGGCAGGCTTCGCGTTCACTCGTCCGTGGGTTGGGCGCAGGGCTCGGCACAGCTGGCACCGGGTCAAGCTGGATATCGTTTTTAGGGCGAAATCAAAGGGGATATCGTTTTTCTGGGATCCGGTCGGAGAAGAGCCGCAAGAATGCCGCCGGCATGCCACCGGCATGTCACCGGCATGCTGTCCATCAAACAAAAAAATGCGTTTTTTCAGCCAATACGCAATAGTATGACACCAAATTTGTTTTGTGCATGCGCATTGGGGGACCCGAACTATGGCCCGAAAATTTATGAAAACGTATGTGAATGAAAGCTTTGCCCAACTTTTTTCTGAATTAGCTGGCACGGTGCCAGCTGGGTGCCAGCTGAGCTGGCACCGACACTTTGCTCACATAAGTTTTCATACTTTTTTACATAAAACGTATCTATACCTTAAAAGTTAACATACAGAGAAGAAACATTTTCATAATGTTTTCTTTTCAGCGTTTTATAGCCATCTGAAAATTACTGGGTCGGCTCCGCAGCCGAAAAATCGGTTTTTTCTGCTTCTCAGCATGTGATTCAACCACTCAAAAAGGTCAGAAAGCTGTGAAAAGTAGTTCCATGAAATCAGCATGCATGAATAACCTACTACATGCTTTTACATGATCTAAAAATAATGATGGGTCCTCAAAACAGGTCAAAGGGGACTTCGTACGAAATTTTCAAGATCAAACGGGACTTCGTTTTGAAATTTTCCTGGTGCCATCTCGTGCCGAGCCCTGGTTGGGCGGGGTGGAAGAGGAGAGGAGATGACCGCTGCTTTCGCTAAGAAATTTCGGAGGTTAGAAGTGGCAGAGAAAGATCGAACTTTGGCCCATAGATTCCATTATGGGGGCTCCTACCCTCCTACCCTTGTTTTGCCACGGGTCTCATTCTGCCGATCCACTGCCTTTAAACCACTTTGAAGAGCATCAATCGGTGATTCCAAATTTGATTTCATTATCTGCCGGGCGTCTCGCATGCCGAATTATGAATATTTTCGTAGCGCGAAAAATGAACGCATAAGCCAGGTAAAATCAAATTTTACGGTCTTCTCAGCGCTCAAGTAGAGAAGTGTTAAGTATGAGTGTTCTGGACAGAAGGTATAGTTTGAATGTTAACTCTGATAACTAACACTGGACCATTTGATCAATTTTGACGAATCTTGTTCTAATCATGCACTTAATTTTTCAAGTTGATAAACGTTCATAACTCAACGTCCAGAAGTGCTCGGCAGATAAGGAAAACAGATTTGGAATCAGCGTTCGATGTCCTTTATACTTTTATCAATTTCATGTAAAAAAGCCACTTCGACCAAAAGGACCTCCCTTGTTAGTTAGGCCCCCACCTGTTTTCAATCACGAACTGTGTGTCCTGATTTGCTTGGACGCTGCCTTCGACTGCGACAACCGCTATGACACATAAAGGCGTAGACGCGATGGGTTTGATTCTTAGTCGATGAATTTCCAGAAAGTGACACTCATGTGGGCAAATGATCAAATTGATGGTAAATAGTAGTGGTAAATAGGCATGAAGATAATTGCGAAATGAATCGCATATTGAAAACGTGGCAGGCACGCCCATTCACGTACCTTACACGATATAAGCGCCGTGCATGCAAGGCATGACTAAAGGATATGGCTGGAATTGTCAGCACCCTAACGTTGGTAATGCCTATGTTTTTCTACTGCTTGGATTGGCACACTGTTTTAGGTGATTGCTGTGTTGCCAGCGCCGTCGCTTGGTCTGTGGTTAGAGTGCTGAACCCCGTACTGTGAATTAGTACTACATTTAGGAGAGATGTACTGCAACAATGGAGAAATGGAGAAGGAGGCGGTCTTATCAATACTTAATCACGTGAATACTGGAGGCAGAAATTGGCTAACGGAGAACAAAGAAATGCGGGTGGAGACTTCCTGCCGCCAGCATTGTACGGTTTGAAAAACCTAGTAAGTCCACATTGAAATCGTAGATGCGATAGGTGGAAATTTTTTCCGACTCCCTCCTTTCACCTGAGGTTAAGACTAGAATCAAGGCATAATGGCAGAATCAAATGGCTGTCAAGAGGCACTTTTTGTTAGGAAAGGAAACGCCATCTGCTCTTCTCCTCAGACATCAAAACTGCAAGAGAGCATCGAAGCAACAGCTTTTGTTGAAAAAACGCATGCTTGAGACCTCCTGCGCACTCAAAGTGGCGTTGATAACAAAACGTAATCAAAAATTAAAAGGATGTCTGCTTTTTGAATAATTAACATTGTATCAATGAATACACATTGTCGCAAGAAAGAGCTGAGCAAGAGTAAAAATCTGGATTGGCTAGTGATGAATGCATGTTTACTGACAAAAATCGTACCACATCTCCTTTCACTACAAAAAATGATAAAAAATAAAAAAGCAGTTAAATTACACGTTTTCTGAGTTTTCGTAACATATATAAAACTTCAAAACCTTGATTTTAGAAAAGAAGCATGAGATAATTACCCAGAATTGGCTAGTATTGTAGCTAGATAAAACTACTCGTATCTCGCTTCACAGAAAAGCTAGGAAAGAAAGAAATGATCCATTCGATTTCTCGTGCTCTTAGCTGTCGAATGATGTGCAGAGTGTTGGTGCACAAAGCTTTCCCAGTCCAAAAAATCTTGCTCCGGCGATTCACACAAGCTAAGAGCGGGGTGGAGCAAGCTAGCAGTAAATGCCAGAGTTTTTTCACTCGACAACCTATAAACCATTAGAGAGCTTACGAAACAGGGATTCGAAATAGGCCGTCCTTTTTCTCCAGCTTTCCTCTTTCTTTCAGAAACGGAGCACAAAGTGATTGCATGAAATCAGCGGATGTGAAGCTAGATATGATTTTTTATATCTAAATTCACACAGAGCTGAAAAAAAAGACGATCTACGTCGAATGTGTAGGTTCCAAAATTTTGAATGGTATGTCGGCTGATGAAACAGAAAGTTTTTCTGGGTCAAAAAAGTCTCTGTTTGACATTCCGAAGTAGCATTGAGAAATTCTTCATATTACACCTATACTTTTTCTTCTTTTCATTCCCGCTCCCGTTGGGCATGTAAGCTTGCGTCAGCACTCACTTTAAGGATCACTTACCCCTTTCAATTTTCTAGGTGGGAGATAGCCAAAACACTTCCCCCTCACTTAGAGTGACCCTGTTCCCCATTCAGACAAGAAAGGCTCTCAGCCGGCAGCCACAAAGCCGCTGTCAAAACCCACCAAAAGCGTCGTGTCCTTATGCTCAGATAATCGCGGGGGGTAGGCGGCCATGCGATTTGTAGGCAAGCGGGCACCGGAAAAATAGTTCGCTGATTTCTTGCGGTCCGCTCGCAGATTTTGGGAGAATATTAGGCATTTTTTGAGCCAAGGTATGGGCATTAATCATAGATTAGTTGCGGCGCAGTGGCCTCATTCTCGTGGACTTTCCGCGAGAATAAGCAAAAATGTTCGGAGACCGCACGGTCATTTGTGAAGGACCACACAGCCCGTAGGTACCTTCCGCTGAGGAAAGGTACCTCAAGCTTGGGTAATAAAACCATAGATGGCACCTCTACCATTGAGAGACTCACCTTCGCTAGGCGTACGCCCGAAACTGCGTTAAAAGATTCCTAGCGCTTGCTGAAAATTTGGTTAGCGCTCGCAGGAAGAAATTATTTGCCGAGCGCTCGCAGAAAACGCTGTACTGCTGCCAGCTGGCAGAATATGCGACAGTAAAAGAAGTACCGCTCAGAGACTGGGAGCGGGCGAGCCGCGGCCCAGTTCCGGCCGGGCAATCGCAGCTCCCGCGGGCCGGCCGTAAATGAAAATTCGGCCCGGCCGTAAATGGCCGCTGCTCGCCCATAGTGGGCCGCGGCTCGGCAGTATTGGCTCTTATAAAATCGTTCTAGCACTTCCAAAAATGAAATTTTAGCTGCTTCTTTTAGCACATGAAGACAACAGAACAATCACATATTCATGACAACTCATTTATCTTCTCTGTCCAGAATATACATAAAAAATAGTCACAATTATGAACAGAGAATCAAACAATCCAAAAAAATGGTGATATCCTTATTGCGCTGTTCTACTCCCAGTTCTCAAGGGCGCAAATATGTTTCGTCATCTATTATCTCGATGTTGCCTTTGGCAGCCTCGACCAAAGCTTTTCTGCCTCTGAAACATTTTGATAACGTTGAAGTAGTCAATATAATGTATACGAACTCACATTACTTGTTCTTTCGATGTCTTCCTCGGGCACAGTCACAGTCTTCCTTTTCTGTTTCTGGAACATTTGGAAATCGCTGAAGTAGCCAAGTTTATGTATCAACTCACATTACTCGGGCTCCACGAATTGTCATTTTCCTTGTATTTCGATGCTCGGACATCCCTTCTGGAAGTCAAAGTTACTGATAATCAACACGTACATAGCTTTCTGTGAGGCCTGATAAAGGTGTGTCCGCCATTGAGCTCGCTCTTGTCTCATCTGCGAAAGCTCTTTCCTTCTTTCCTCTTCATTGTTTCCTAAGCTTTCGTAGAAGCTAAATTAGAAGACAGTACACTAAATCTCTCTTGACTTTTGTAAAATCATATTCGTAGAGAACCTTCAAGGCTCCTCTAGATAACTGACTTGCACTTCGGAGAGACCAAAATGTAGAATATATGCAGCATAATAATGGATGCGGCCAATTTAAGCTGAAACTGATGCGGTAAGGTAGCTCGAACAGACACGATATCGTCAGCTTACGTGCACACTGCCTGGTTCCAGGAAAGGTATGACTTGCATTTCGAAGACTATCTGATTCGAATTTCATCACAGATTCTTGATTTATGTGCCTGTCTCGAGTTCTCTGCCTGGTCTCTTCAATCAATCCGCGCGATCTTCTCAGCTGCCTTTCTATTGCTACTAAAAGAGTTGGCTATTAACAACAGGCAAATAAGAATATCTGCCCTTTGCTGATCAATTGCCAACAGACAAAATGGGAATTACATACATCCGTATGCCCTCGGGCCTGTCCTGTTTAGACTACGGTATCGATCATCCGGAACATACGGGACGAATCGCTGTCGTCGTGCACGCCCTGCGCGCTGCTGACCTGGAATGATATCCACGAAAGTCCATTTAAAAATGGGCTTTTCGCGAATGAAAAGCGAATAAAATGGGCTTAGTCCCTGCGGTGCGATAAGGTATCGCATTCGCGAATCCATTTATTCTAGATACATAAAAATGTCTTAGCAAGCCTTTCTCCAACTTGTCTCAACCTGTTTACTCACTCTCGCAAACTCATTTCCACCAAGTGGTCGATATCCAACTAGGCTAACCTAACATTACAATGTCAATCATTTGAATATTCGTTCTTTCACAATCCATTACACCACCAAAATCCCGTTTATTATCTGTGACTATCCATCTAGGTAGAGCACTGCTACTTCAACAAAAATCCGTGTAATATCCGGTCCTTCGCTTTTAAGACCTATGAATCTGCATTAAATCAATTTCGTATGCAGAGCTTTTTGCAGAAAGCACTGGCTAGAATTGCACTGCAATTTGTAAATCGAAAGCTTATCTCGTAGGGAACTGTACTACAGCACAAGCCAAAAGTTTTTTTAGGTCGGAAAAACTACGAATTGCAAAAAAGATGACTTCGCTAATGCTCTACTTCAGCTCTTCTTTCCCTAGCATTATGTTTATATCTCTAAATAGGAACAACTGCCAAACAACATTTCAGTCTCATATGTCGCCATTTTTTAAGATAGTAATCCGAAAACTAGCTATATATTTATGGCAATTCTCTGCACTAACTTAGGTAGTCAATCTCCTAGGGAAACGCTTAAAAGAAAAGTTACAAAAACGTCATCCTGCAGGAAAAATACTCTTATTACTACATTTTTTTCATAAGAACATAGGGGGGAGGGGCAGCGCAGAAATTTTCTTGAATGAAAAGCCGAAAAATTTCGAAAATTACTAAAAAATCTCTTGAGCTTCACAACTTTTCAAAGGCCTATAACCCTGAAATTTCTTAGAGGGAGCATGGAAGCAGTCACGGCTTTAATTTTACAAAGTCAATTTGATTCATTAAAAAATGAGAAAGTCATTTTGATTTTCTACGAGTAAATACGAATCACTTGTACAATTTTACGGTTCATTTTAGATAGATCAAAATTTGCAGACCTTTTTTTTTGGGGGGGGGGGGGGAAGGCTACCATTCCTCGCTGCGCCACTGGTTCTTGGTAGGGACTTGCGAACTTAATGAACGTATTATTCAGAGAAAGGAGAGAAGCAAGATTGGGGGGTGGATCAGCTCTGTGGTTGAAATTACTTATGAATTACTGTATTAACGATGACGCCGTTAGTGGCATCAGAGGAGGGACGGAGGGCAAGAATTCAAGTTTCTTTTCGCGAGCCAATGTCATATACATTTGCAGCTTGCTAGGAGGTTGATGAAAATAAACTATCCTGCCACAAGGTCGGAACTAAAGTCCTATTAAGACGAAAAAAGAACGTGAAAACATGAAGACTGTTACAGAATGAATTAGAATCAAGCAAATTCCGCCTGGAAAGGGAGAAAATCAATCATGAAGCAGCTTTGCTGAAAAAAATGTTTATATGCAAAAAATGTCATCTAGTAGCAATAATTTAAAGTAAACTAATAATGTCTGTAATCTTTGTGAGAGATAAAGTGTTGATAAAGAAAAAAACAAACAGTGTTGTTGAACATGAATCTATGAGGATACATTAGGTGGGACCGAAAGTTCGTTCGCACCATTTCCAAAAAATCATAACTTCTGATTTTTCAACCGATTTGATCGCTTTTATCTTTACGTGAAAGGGTAAAACGTGCTCTTTATAATTCTCCTTAATTGCTTGCTATTGATCATCTGTTGCATAGATAGGAGCGGTAGAAGAAAATTAGTCAAAATTTGAATTTCTGTGTAGGGTCATGAAAAATCAGAAACTTGCAAAAAAATTCGGAGCAGTCAGTATTGTAGGTTTTTTCACCAGCTTTTTCTAACTGTAAAAACTTTGCGCCGATTGGGCGTTTCTATGAAAAGTTACGATTTTCCTGAAAAATGCCAAAATAAAATCGAATTCGCCCTTTTATATTGCTTACTCGAAAATCGTAACTTTTCATAGAGACGCTCAATCGGCGCAAACTTTGCATAGCTAGAAAGAGCAGGTAATAGAACCTATAATGCCGACTGCTCCGATTTTTTTTGCAAGTTTCTGATTTTTTATGACCCTACACAGAAAACTGAAATTTTGACTAATTTTCTTCTACCGCTCCTATCTGTGCAACAGATGATCAATAGCAAGCAGCTAATGGGTCGTTATAGAGAGCATTACTTACTCTTTTGTAGAAAAATAAAAGCAGTCAAATCGGTTGGAAAAAACAGAAGTTATGGATTTTTGAAAATGGTGCGAACTAACTTTCGGGACGACCTAACCGTTGCGCTTTCGATCACGTGGGTTGACCAACTGTTTTTTTTACAACATTATACAAAAAACTCATTTTTATTATCTTTGAGCAGTTTCTATGGGCTGTTTTCGAGCAGATAAGCTAGAAAATACAAATTACGTCAAAACAAAAGCTTATTCTAAAATTTCCATGTGTTTCATGCACTTTTTAAAAAAGTTCATTTTTAAGCACTTACAGAAAAGCTGTAACTTTTTTCTTTGGTGAATTACCCTAAAATAGACCAAAAAACATACTCGCAAAAAATTGGAGCTCAAAATGGACAAAAAGGTCAAAAATGGACTTACAATTAGTCCCAGCATTTTACTCCCAGCAGCGTCCCTCGCTGCTGGGAGTAAAATGGGCTTATCAGAAAAGTAGCGAGGATAGAAGATGGAGGTAAACTCCATTTTGCCCCATTTTAAAATGGACTTCTGACGTCATCATCCGCGAGCGATAGCTGAAGTAAGGTTGAGTCATTTTCATTTCACCGCTTTGCCTCGTGGCTGCGATGAGATGAAAAATTTTGGATATCGCAAGCGAGAGCCAATTTCAACCACTTTCTATCGCGAACGAATAAAATGGACAAGTAAGTCCATTTTCCTCCATAATGGACTCTCGTGGATATGAGTCCTGGATGGACCACATATAATAAGAATAGGAAAAGTGTGTGAATTAGATTACAGAGTATATTATATTACATATATGATAGATATTATATTACATATCATATATATTATATTTGATATTTGGTTATATATAGGTTGTCCCGAAAGTTCGTTCGCACCATTTTCAAAAAATCATAACTTCTTTGCATTATAACGTTTTTGCGCAATTCAAATTTTATTATAAAGCGTAAAGCATGTAGTTTCCAATAGTCCTCTGATTGCTTTCCACTATGTTCAGTTTGCAGAGATAAAAATGAAAGAACGAAAACATCCAAAATTCGGAATTTTTGAGCAAAAATTCTAAAAATCTAGAAACTGCGCGATAAAATCCAGAAAAGCCATTATCCTAGTTTTTCTTATATTTAATTACTAACTGAGTTAGGTTTGTGCTGAACGAGCTCTTCTTTCAAAAGTTTTGATTTTTTGAAAAAAATGACGAAAAATCAATTTCTTAAGAACTCGTAGGAAATTGATTTTTTTCAAAAAATCATAACTTTTGAAAAAAGGGCTCGATCAGCACAAACCCAACTCAGTTAGTAATCAAATATAAGAAAAACTAGGATAATGGCTTTTCTGGATTTTATCGCGCAGTTTCTAGATTTTTAGAATTTTTGCTCAAAAATTCCGAATTTTGGATGTTTTCGTTCTTTCATTTTTATCTCTGCAAACTGAACATGCTGGAAAGCCATCAGGGGACATTTGGAAGCTACATGCATTACCCTTTCTAATAAAATTTGGATTGCGCAAAAACGTTATGATGCAAAGAAGTTATGATTTTTTGAAAAAGGTGCGAACGAACTTTCGGTTCAACCTAATATATGTATATATTAGGTTGAACCGAAAGTTCTGTCGTACCATTTTCAAAAATTCATAACTTGTGGAATTCTCAACGGTTCTCCTTGAAATTATTTTTGTATGAAAGAGTAAGTCATGCTCTTTATAATGACATCTTAGTGCTTGCTAATGATCATCTGTTGTATAGACAGGAGCGATAGAAAAAAATTAGTCAAAATTCGAATTCTCTGTGTAGGGTCATAAAAAATCGGAAACTTGCAACAAAGATCGGAGCAGTCAGTATTGTAGGTTCTTTCACCAGCTCTTCTTAACTGTGCAAAGTCTGCGCTGATTGAGCGTCTCTAGTAAAAGTTATGATTTCCCTAAAGAATGCCAAAATAAATCAAATTCGCCCTTTTGTATTGCTTGCTCGAAAGTCATAACTTTTCATAGAGACGCCCAATCGGCGCAAACTTTTTACAGTTAGAAAGAGCTGGCGAAAGAACCTACAATACTGACTGCTCCGATTTTTGTTGAAAGTTTCTGATTTTTTATGACCCTACACAAAAAATTCGAATTTTGACTGATTTTCTTCTATCGCTCCTATCTATGCAAAAGATGATCATTAGCAAGCAGCTAAGATGTCATTATAAAGAGCATGACTTACTCTTTCATAAAAAAATAATTTCAAGGAAAACCGTTGAGAATTCAAAAAGTTATGAATTTTTGAAAATGGTGCGACAGAACTTTCGGTTAAACCTAATACAGGGTGTCCCAAAAAAATGTTAACACTGTTTGATCGCTAATAACTCCCTTGCTTTCAAGTCTTTCGCCGAGCTTTAGGTACCATTTTGTAGAGCGAGGATAAACTTAGATTTACAGTATGGAGCGAATCACCAATCGCTTTTCGTTACTGTAGAATTACGGTAGAAATTCTGACAAGGATTTTAGGCCTGAAAGGCCATTTTCTGCTTCGAGACAGAGCCAAACAAGCCAAAATCTCTTGTACTATGGTAATGAAAGCCGCTAATTTCAAATATGAAGTTTCCATTTTATTATGATACTTTTTTTCAAAGTTATGCTAAGTAAAGTGTAATAACTGACTTCCCAACATGTGTCAAAAATGTGATTACATCGTCAAAAAAGCTGAAAACACTCGTAAAAAATTGTGTAGTAAAATCAGTGCGCGCGAAAACCCTG